AAACCAAAAAAAAAAAAAAATCCAAACAAATTAAAAATTTTATATCCAAAGTAAAACACAAAACTTATAATATATTGCAAAGTAAAATCAACTTTAATTAAAAAAAAAGAGATGTACAAAAAAACAATGAATCCACCTGTCAAGCAGCACAATTCAAGATTGGTGGGCAGTTCCACCAAATTTCTAATAGTAAAAGAGAATAGAAATTGCATCTAGAAATGTGATCTAATAAGGAAATAAATTAAACAATAATGCATCTATCCAAAGTGGACACATGTAAATATGTTTCACAGCTTATGTGGTATGTACATATTGATAATATATTTTTTTTGAACATATTAACGATACAAATATGTGCTTGTCACATAAACAGTGAGCATATTAACATGTATTCACAGAGTATTAGTGATAAATTGAATAAATAAAGTAGAATAAAGAAGCTTTCTCTTTTTCCATGTTGAACATGTTTTCTATCATATCTTCCAAACTTGACTGTCCCTACCCTTTTTCTTGATTCAATCACACTCAACAAACAGAATTTTGTTGACCCCTTTTTCTTTTCGAAGTCCAACTGAGCAGCTCAAATGTTGAGAATCAGGCTGCATATCAAAAGGGGCATCCGTCTCTGTTTATATCTCTGTAGTTTGATTTGATTTTTTTTTTTCTTCCTTTTTTCTTGGAACTGCGATACAGTAATGGCGGACAGCAGCCGCGTCGGCACAGAGGATCAATCTGCTCGTGAAGACGAACGAAATATTCAGGCTCAATATGACCCGGTTAACATCCTCGCTCCTTTCTTTTTTTTTTGGCTGTTTATTTTCGTTTTTTGTGCGGAAATTGCAGTGAGTGTTGTGTGTTCTAAGTTGCTGAGATTGCGTTTTGTTTTTGTGAGCTGCTTATTAGTGAAAGTTTAGGTTATTTTCCTTTGCTTATCTTAATGGGTTTTTACTTTCTAGGTTGCAAAAACCTTGGGGAATTTGGATGATTACTTATAATCTAGTTAGGGAGTTATCGATATCGCAGACATGTCGAATTCTTGAAAATTGGTTCATTTTAATCTGGGTTTTTATGAATTTTACTTAGTTTCCTGATAGTTTTGCTTGTGGGGAGTTATCAGTTTTACCAAGGTAGAGATTGTGTGCCATAAACAAATCCAGAGATGTGTATTCTTGATTGATAGAGCGTTGCACAAACTCAATAATAACAATAATAAAAGATAAAGAAAATGTAAAAGTAAATGAAATGAAAATATTCCGATTAGCTATGTAGATATTGGTTTACATTTTACTTACCATAGCTCAGTTAGATATAAAGACAATGAGGGAGGTGGATTACCTAACTACCATTCATATGAAACTGGAGGTGAAAAAAGGTAGAAGGACTTGGATTTTGGTTCGACCGTGAAATCGCTTAATAAAACTCTAAGGACTACGTGTGTGTTATGTTCTCTTTTCCGTTTACAGCAGCAATTCAGTATGTAATGCTGTCTGTATTATATGATTTCTCAAAATCCATTTCTTTTGGTCGAGTTGTATGATTTGCAGAACGTATGCCACTTAATGTAGTAAGAGATTGCATGATTTCTGTTTGTGCTTTCTATTTCCATTACATGAATTATTTTGGGGGATGTTTGTACTCACTTAAAAAAGTGATTGTCAAGCTTTTGTCTATATAAAACATCGTTCTTTGTGTTTCTAAATGCCCACTTCTGTTTCTTTCTCCTGCTAATTTAATTCAGAATCTAAAAGCAAATGTAGGGGATGATATATCCTTTACATTAATCTACTTCTGGATTGATTTCAGCACACAAAGCTTTTTTTTTTTTTTTTTGCATTTTATTCACCTAAGTCTCATTCTTCTTTAACCTGTTCAACTTTTAGCTTCTATTTGCAACACTACAATTTCTGGCATACACTATAATAAATTTGTAAGTTTGTTTATACTAGTGCATATGCATGAAGTGTCTCTGTTTTAAGTATTTTACATTAGTTTATTAATTATCAAACATTGAAAATGGCACCAGAAATATGAGAGGGAGGAAGCCGCCTTAATGCAGCCCAGACGACCAAACCTCTCATCCCTGGAAATACCTAAACGTTCTCTTGAGAGGGCATTGTCTGATTTTACGAGGATAGATATCGTCCCGAGCCCAAATTCCAGTAGAGCTGCATTGCCCCCCAGACCAAATTCGACCAAATTGAAGTCGACTGTGAAGAATATTCTCCCACAAAAGAGCTCAAGAGGTAAAAACCTACTGTCACAAGAAGCTGAAAAAACGGTGCTGATAATACCGGAAACACCCCTGTCGGACAAGCCCTCAACTTCGAGGTCATTTTCATTGAATAAAATTTTATTCTCGGCATCCACAAAATCGGCACATTCGTTGCCCGTGACGCCAATGGCGAATGCTGACCCTAAGTCCTCACAAGAAAATCATGTTGATGAACAATCTAAAATATCTGTAAGTTTGTCTTCAGAGTACTTATAAGCTATGCTTCCATGAACTGCCCCACAAGTCTAGGCATATTACAATTTGACCTGGTTATCTTTCAAATTTACGGATCAGCCCCCTATTCATGGTCAGTGCTAACATCTTAGGGCTATTTGTAATTCTGAAGAAAGATACCTTAATGAAACTCAGGGTAGCCTTTGTAGTTAAACCCCGCTTACATATACCTATTTCTTATTTTTTCTGGAATGGCCTTTCTAACTCAACATTATTTTTCTGCAGCAAACTGAAGTTAAGCAATTTATGACACGCTCGTTTTCAGTTCCAGTTAACATTAAGACACAAAGCTTGAGGCAGACAGAATCATCTGGAGGATTAATCCGGGTAATATCATCAAACCATCGATCTACCATGATGGTGGAAAATGCCTCCACGGATATATCTCCTGATATCGAAGCAGGTTTATATTAATTCAGGACATGATGGTGTCATCAAATGTTATTACAATTACATCCCTCATATTTCTAAGTATTAAAAATAAGCCAAACTTGATTCATTCTCATAATTTATTGAAAACTATAGTCACATTGACACACACACTAGGTGATGCTGGGCAAGATATTCCAGAAGAAGAAGCTGTTTGCAGAATATGTTTCATTGAGCTTGGAGAAGGTGGTGAAACTCTAAAGATGGAGTGCAGCTGTAAAGGAGAGCTTGCACTTGCTCACAAAGAATGTGCCGTCAAGTGGTTTAGCATAAAAGGCAATCGGACATGTGATGTATGCAAGCAGGATGTTCGTAATCTTCCAGTAACATTACTGAAATTACAAAATCCTCCTAATGTGGTTCGAAGACCGTCTGCTGGATCACAGCAGAGGGAAGTGACTCGGTACAGGCAAGTTCTCTTATTAATGTTAATAATTTTTTTTTTTTTTTTCAATTGTTAGAGTTCATGTAAGTATTTGTTGGTGATTTGTTGCTACATTGGTGTTGAGAGCGCAAGCATTATATTATTTTTTCTATAAAAAATTAAAAATTTATTTATATAGAGTTAAAGATTTAAGAAAAGAAGAATTTTAATTAAATTGAAAAGGAAATAATTTTAATAGGCGAAGCTTGTCCAAGCCTAAATCCGACAAACCTATTCAACATAAGATAACCCTATTTTTCATGCATGTGTGTTCATTAGCCTCATATAGGTTGAGCCCATGCTCTTATTTTGTTCTTGAAAAGTCTTTGTTCTTTTGCTATGGAAAATATGGTCTAGATGATGATGAAATATGCTAAGTCTGCAAAATTTCCAAATTTCAGTATGTACCACCAGATGAGAAGGAAATAGAAGGAAATGTAGGAAACGATACATGCAGAGAAAAGAGAAGGAAATGTAGGAAACGATACATGCAGAGAAAAGATTGAAAAAATTAATTGTTGTAAATTACTAAATATATGAATTATGAATATATAGATTATAAAATTTGTAATTCTTGACAGGGTATGGCAGGACGTGCCTGTTTTAGTCATGGTCAGCATGCTTGCTTATTTCTGCTTTCTGGAGCAACTTCTGGTAACCGTATATTGCATTATTAATTTACCATTTTGTCGATAAGTTATTATTTGTTGGCACAAGCTTTATTTTTACTGAACATCTTGCTTGTTGTTTAGCACATCATTTTTTATCCTTATGCTTCGACCGCTCCCAGTTCACTTCCTACCATATAGCACCCAAAATAGCTTGGTGAACCGGCTAGGTTGTTAGACCGGTTGTGGCCGGTTCGAGAGAGCTCAACTGACTTTCAACATATGAGCCTATCAAGGAGCTCGAGTTCGTTTTGGTAGCTCGAGGTACAGGTTGGTCTAGTCGGATAGCTCGTAGGTCAAAGGACCTCAAGAGCTAGGATATTCGGTAGACCTTAGACTCGTAGGTTGCGGAGGTGGAGGTCGTTGTTGTGACCTCGTTGTAGCTTGCGAAAGGTAGGTAGAGAGGTCGTGGTTACGACCTCGAGACCTAAGAGCCGTTAGTAAGAGAGGAAAGTGTTTTTATATGGACAATTGCCCTTTACTATTCCTTTCCCTTTTTAAGGGGCTGAGAGTTATATGCCCGTGTCACAACAAGAAGGTTCAATTCAATTTTATAATTGTTTGATTTTCCTACTTCATCGTGATATTTTGTTCCATTTAACTTTTGGTAATTTATGTCATTTAGTTGTAAATATTCTTAAAAATCTCAGAACTAATTGTTCTTACTAGTTAGAAAAATTGTCAATGTCCATGGATCAGTCATACGAGGTTGATGTATATTTCTCTTACATAAGCATGCAGAGCATGTGATTATGGATTTCTATACCTTGCCGTCACCGTACGGTTGTAGTTTTGAGTTATGTTATGCGTAAGTAGGTATACTGTCTTTCATCTCATCTTTAGATTTTATCCCTTATAGGCATTCGTTCATGACAGGTATCTGACATGGGACCTCGAGCTCTTGCAATCTCTTTGCCTTTTGCTTGTGTCTTAGGTCTTCTTTCATCCATGATAGCTTCCACAATGGGTAACTTCAACCATCTTCTGCTCATTAACTTTATAAGCACTATTTCACTCGAGCGTTTCTATGTGTAGCCAGGAATGGAGCTAACTAGGGCCTTCATCGAGTTTTTGAAAAAAAAAAAAAATGTATAACTACCAAAATTGTATTTTGAAAAAATATTGGTATTTGTATTGTTGACAAAATCATTTTTTTTTTACTAAAAGATACAACAAAAATATTTATGTAGCTTGTAGAATTCTTTTCTAAATTCTACTTATCTATATTCTCTATCAGAATTTGTACTAATTTATAATTTATCTATTGGTTCGATTATAGTAATTTTTTCAGTGAATTGCTATTT